AGGTACAGCTTTCTCGGGAGCCATCCCTGCAGCTACCTTCTGCCGCTGGCCTCGAGGCCCATCCCAATTATGGCAAGGATTACAAACCACCTGATTCTAGGCTGTTTGTTTTGAAAAAAGAAACCACTGCCCCCTGCCCCCACCCAGGCTTGTGTTCCCAGTTGGTGGCGTCTCTTTTGCGAGGGCTCATTGCCACGGATTCCCGGTCTCCAGGGAGCTGAGTCTTTCCCTGAAAAAACCAAGCTGTAATCAAAGGTGTGTTCATCCTGCATGGGTGTCAGCAGCCGCGCTGGAGCGTGGGTTCCCGAGGCCTGGCAGAAGCAGGCGCAGGCCAGGTGCCCCCAGCATGGCTCCCTAAGTAAATCAGATTGCCCTGAGGTTGTCCTGGTGAAGGTGACACAGTCTTCTGCTTCTCAGTGTTGGGGGTCCAGAAGGCTGGGTTGGGGAGGCTTGGGGGAGGCAGGATTCTACTTCTATTCCAAACTGAGAAAAGAAGAATCCAGCTTTTTGGTGCCTTTCCACCCCTGGCAGGTAAAGACCCACCTCGCAGGAGGCTGGCCCCTCAGAGAGGCTTCCACAGCTCTGCCTCTTTTGAACCTGGCACTCCTCTGGCATGGCCAGGCTGGGCTGGCTCTGGCTGGAGCCTGCCGGTCCTCCCCTTGGTAGGGTCACTCCCCTCCCCTCAGTAGGAAGACATCACACTGGACATGATGAGCCGTTTACCAGGCCTGGCGTTTCTTACGTATCTGCAAAATATTTGCTGAATGAAAAATGGCGAGGAACGAACTGTCAGAGGGAGTGACCCTGGGAGCTGATTTTCTTCCTACAAACCATTTCAACAGCTTCCCTCGTTTTCCCCCTGCTGGGGTCTCCGGATCTGATAGGCTTAAACCAGGCCAAGAGGAAAGTCCCGTAGGCAGAATTTTTCTTACTGGGATTTTGCTCCCTAGAACCAGCATTTTCTGGAGTTCTGAGCCTGGAAGACTGGAAATATGTGCAACACACAGCTTGAAGGACACTGTAGAGCGTTCTCTATCCCTGTCTCGGGCGCCTCAGGAGAGCTGCCATTTTCCATGCCTGGTCGTTGTTTGACATCGGGGCTCCCCACGCAGCTCAGGGAGGCAGGGAACTCCATTTAGAGCCCCGCTGGCTGGCGAGCAGCCAGGTTTTGCAGCCATCCCAGGATGGGTAGGTTCACTGTCACTTCTAACTATTGGAAGGAGAATTTTGGAGCCCTTGGCATCACTTGCACAGATTTAAATGGTAAGCAGGGGAAGCCAGCCAGCAGCAAGACAGCAACTTGAGCCCCCTGTGAATCTCTGTACGCTCTTGTCTCTGGGCATCTCTGGCATTTTCTCATGGTCTCTCCGTCTGGTTGCTGTTCAGCCATCACCGTGTCTGAGTGACGCTGCCCTTATAGCTCTGACCTCTAGGCTCAGGTGTGCACACTTGCACATGCACACACACCCATGCTCAGGAGTCCATAGCCAGGCACGCGTGCCCCACACCCACGCGCCTTCTACACTAGCTAGATCAAGGCCGCAGGTAATGGCCACCGAGGCCAATGGTATAAAAGCCTGGTCATCTTCACTTACCCCACATGAGAAATGGAGGCCCCCCAGGAGGACAGTGGTGGGCATGAGGGCACAGAAAAGGGTGTGAGAGAGCCAGACTCAGGCTTCCTGTCCCCAAGGCAGGAGCTCTTGCCGGTTCGGGCCAGTGTCTAGCAGGTGGCAGTGGCGTGCTGGGTTCAGGGATAAATGAAGAAAGCAGGACTGACTCTATGAGATGCCCCAGTAATGAGTAGAATCATTGGGCAGCCCCAGCCAAGCCACTGTGCTCCTCTGTGCTCAAGGGGCAGCACCTGGTCAGCTGAAGACACAGTATTATCACCAGTGACAGTAGCTGACATACCTGCTCCCACACCCGGCACCTACAGGGGTGACCTGCTTTAGCCAACGGGACACGTCGGGGTTAACTAGAGGAAGAGGGAGGACAGAGCTGGATGGGACAGGCGCTGTGTGGCTGCACAAGCACAGTGGGTTCAAGAATCAGGAAGTCAGAAGCCCAGTACACAGCTGAGCAAGGCGAGGCGGGAGAGCTGAGCAGGACCCACCCCGCGGGACGGGGCTGGGAGTGTGGTCTCCACCTTGAAACAAACAAGCCATCGATTCGCTGCTCTGTCCTGTGTCACTATAGACCCCGCCCTCTCACACTCTGCCTGGTATTTGTCTTATTTATGCCCTGAGTTCCTCAGGGTAAGGACTGGGTCTTGTTTATCTGTATCCATCTGGTGCTTAACCAAAGATCAGGTGCATGTGGGTTAAATGATTCATTGAATGTTTAATATAGCCAACATTTAATAATATTAATGTATTCCATAGTTACTGACTCTATATTGTGCTTTTGTTATATAGCAATGTCAGTGCCTGTCAGCTGTCTCCCACGGGTAGGCACTTTTGCTGTTAAGTGATGCATGCTAAAGCCTTGCCTTCTGAAAAATGAAACCAGCGCAGTGACTTGGGAACGATCACGGTACAGAGGAGCACTCACACTGTATGTGACTCTGTAACGAAACACAAGCCTACTGACCACACTGACACAAGCCAAAGGGATTGTAAATGTTGAATTTTTTTTAAAAAAAAAGGCAACAGTAACTTTAAGATCTGAATCATTAAGGACTATAGTTCATATACCCAAGGGGGAGCTCCAGGAGAGGGGGCCAGACAGAGAAGGCCTAGGCGGCTGAGTGACAGAGGCAGGAGGCCTTCATTACATGTCCCTGTGGAAGAGCAGCAGCAGGCTTTGCCAAGAAGCAGCAGAGGTGGAAGGTCTAACCCACAGCCTTTGTGCACTGATCAGGGAGACCTGAGCCATGAGAGCATTTGAGACACAGCTCACGGCCTCGCTGGCTGAGAGGAAGGACGTGGAGGGGCGTCTGGCAGCAAGGAGCCGCGAGGCTGTCAGGGGCTTTGCATCCAGCTGCCTTCACTTGGTGTGCAAAGCAGTCATGTGCTGGGAACATTTGCCTGTGACCCAGCGCCACCGCGACATTTTATTGACTTCATTTCCCTGTCTACCTTACATGTGCTAATCACGCTGAATGGCTCAAGTGCAGTAGAACAAACAATGCGTAGTGCAGGACTGGACGAACTGATAAACCAGCTTGCCCGTTTACATCGAGGGGCAGGTACTGCTCATACCCTCTGTAGACTGTTGGACTGTTCACCTCTTTGCCGTTAAGTCTGCTCAGCAAACCCATTCTGTGAGCAGAGCAGAGAGCAAGACCAGAAGGAGCTGGTGACACTTAAACCTCTTTCCCCATCAGGAGCAGCTGAGCTCATACCTCTAGACCTGGAGTCAGAGGACCTCACCCCAGCCTGCCCAAAAGCTGTGTGACCTCAGGGAAATCACTCAGCCTCTCTGTGCCTGTTTTCTCAACTGTACAAAATGGCACTAGTGACATTCCCCAAGTTCTTTTAAGAAGCAAATTAACTAGTGCATGGAAAGTTCGAGTATTACTCTCCCCTAAAGGCAGTGCCTTCGTTACTCAAGGCAGCGTGTCTCCTGGACGCCTCCCACTGGGTGGTTCTAAAGGCAGTAGTCAAGAGACCTAAACTCCCTGAATCAACATAAACACTGGGATTAAATGCGGAAGCTTGAGTGTCCCTGCAGGAAGGAGACCTAGAACTTGCTGGACCTTGACAAAGTGAGGCGGTGGGAGGCCTGCCAGTGTCCCCTAGTACACAGGGCTCCTTCCTGTCAAGGCCTGAGGTCCCCTCCCACCCTGGCCAAGTCCCTGCCCTCAGCCACTCCTACCAAGCTGGGCCTGCCTGCTCCTTCACCCTCTTTTTTTGCTCCCCCAAAATAGAGCGGTGAAGAGGAACACCCGCTTGGGAATCACATGAACAGACTCAGATCAACTCTATCACTGACCAGCTCTAAAACCAAAATAGCCAAGTTGTGACTTCTTGAGCCTCTACCCTGACCTGGAGACTGGAATACAAAATTTCCTCCTTCCTTCCGCCCTCCTTTCTCCCCTAAGAGGATTATAAGTGAGCACCTTGCACCTTTGATGTGCCCAGGTTCTGATTCTGTTCAGCAGGGCTGGGTGGAGCCTGAGAATCCATCAGCCCCTCCAACAACTCCCAGGTGGCACAAACTCACTTTTGACGAGCAAGAGTGTAGACCAGGTGTGTAGAGCAGAGGCCTCAGAAGTACTCAGCCGACAAACGCCCTTACCACGGAGATGACTTTCCCCCAAAATCTTCTCCTTTGAGGCCAGCGATGGATGACTAGAGAAACCTCTGCTCGCCTCAGAGCTCCTTAGGGAAACAAGAAAAACAGCAAGTTTTGCTTTAAAAACAGGCTGGGTGTGGGGAGCAGTTCTCAGGCACCTGAGCATTGCTCGTGGGGATGTTACTCCCCACACACATGCACTGCAGGTGGGCCGAGGAGCCCCAAAAGCTGCTGGAGCTCAGGCCTCAACTTCTGGGGCTGGGCAGGTCCTCAGCCAGCCCTCCCGCTCCTGGGCCGCAGAAGCAAGGAATCGTCTAAGCACACAGGGTTAACTTGGCAGGAGTCTCCCAGGATAGAAATGCACCCTGGGGGCTCTTGTTTTAAGGACTCTGCTGTCTCCTTGAGGTGAGGCCTGGCTACAGAGCCTCCCAGCTCCCTCCTCAACAAAATGGAACCCCAGCCAGAGCTCTGCTGCCAGGAGCAGCCACCAGGCTCCAGGAGAGCAGGAGGGCCCAAGAGACACCGCCCTACCCGCCCCCTTGGAGAAAGTGCTTTTAGTTTCACTCTTCTAAAAAGCCAGCTGCTCAACACCCAGGGCCAGGGGCTTGCTTTTTTTTTTTTTTTTTTTTTTTTTATTTAGAGTCACCACAGAGCCCAGAGGTTCTGAGTTCCGTGTTAGAAGCAGCTTGGTCCTCACCATTTCTTTTCTCTCTCCACCCAGTCTCCTTTGCCCTGCTCTTAATGCTGACTCTTCTTCCTAGGTCTCAATGCCCTGACTGCTCTTGGAGTCAAAGTATGAGAAGATTCCCAGGATGTAAGGGATTCGCAACTGGTGAGTGGCCTGGTGTCTGGTGAAGGTTGGGGCTTGACTGGATTGGATTTTGAAAAGGGGAAGGAGATGGACGAGGCAGGCCGGGGCAACTAGGCCCAACGCCTGTCCAGGGCCACCTGGGCTTTTGCAGCTCTGAGATGGTGCTTCACTCCAGTGCTCCAGGAAGCCACGCCATGCAGAGCATGCAGGTGTGAGCCCCGGGGACCCGTTGTGTCCCCTCCAGCTGCTCAGCAAACAGACCTGCAGGGAGCTGGGCTGACCTCTCTCTGCTCAGGGGACAGCTTAGACCATCCAGACTGTTCATGCTTGGAATGTTTCAGGGGGCCACAGACCAGGGTCAGGACCCTGCTCTTAGAACAGATAGGGAACTACCCGGTTCATGTAGTTTGTCAACCATAGTCCCAAGGAGACAAGCCTGAATGAAGGCAAGAAAGTCTCCCCTTTGCACATTTAAAAGGCCATCCCTGGCAAAGGAAGGAGGCAGCTATTGGTTCAACTGAAGGAAAAATTCCTAACCAAAGAGATTTGCGAAAGCCCTGTAGGCAGCCACTGGGAGTGGTGAGCTCCCCGTCACTGGGAGAATGCAAGTGCGGGCTGAAGAGTTATCACCGGGAAATGTTGGAGTAGTGTGTGGCTCTGACTAGAGTAGTGCTTACAGACTTTGTTCCCTGATGACCTAGACTCCTGAGGGGCAGTAGGGTGAGGGAGAGGGAGTGTGAGGAGGGTGCACGCTAATGATGTATGCATGTGCTCTGTAAGCACTGCCTGTTTCATGTGGCAGGTTCTGCTCTAAGCCCGTCCAGAAGCCGCTGCGTGCGGCAGCCCTGTGGTCTCTCCTGGGGCCTGCTGTCCGCCCACTAGCTGAACCTGCACTAATGCCAGGCAGCTGCACACAACTCCGTACTTCCTTGCTAGTTTTCAAGTAGGAGATAGACTTTGAGGACAGGGTCCTGTCCTTGACCTGGCACACAGTAGGTGCTTAATTACTGGTTGTCAAATAACTCAAAGGAAAAATGATGAGGAGGCAGCTCAGGCAGGCCAAGCTGGTGGTTAAGAGTTTTTACCATTTCAAACTTCGAGGGATTTAGAATCAGGGATACTTGGCGGCACTAGCTGGGAATGAACTGTTTTTCCAGAGCTACATGCAGATGAGACAACGTAGCCCAGAATCAGGTTTCCCTTGAGTTTCCTCATCTGTAAAGAAGGGAAGTCATATACCTCCGAGAGCTGTTGAGGAGGGTAAATGAGAAGAAACATGGAGAGAACAGGCATCCTGCAATCTCGCTCACAAAACATGCCCCAGAGCAGAAAATATCTCCCTCGTCCACCTCCCACCCCTCTGCCCTGAACGCATAGCTTGCTTCTTGCAACATGTTCATGGAAATAATGCTGGGGAGAGTGCAGACAACCAAGGTGTTTGAACACCAAATTGATACCAGCTAAATCTGAGGGTGAGCCTGTGTGCCCTGGGGAGGGGCTTGTCTCAAATGGGCGAGAAGTCAGAGGAATTCGGGTTTCAGCCTTCATCCCTGAGAATCTTCAGGAGCAAGATTAAGTTTCCACTTTAAAACAAAGACCAATAAATCAGTGTGAAAGACCAATAAATCAGAGCAAACCCCCACACTAGGGGAACAGAAACCCCAGGTAGGTTGACTGGGAGCCGGCCTGGGAAGTCCAGTGGAGCAAGCTGGGCCTCCTAGGTCATTGGTAAAGAGGCTCTCCTGGGGGTGGGGGAGGCCATAGTTAACTGCATGCCTTTATTCTGCCCTAGAACAGCTGTCCCCTTTCTGGACCTTTGGCCCCCTGTCTCGTGAACTGGGCTGGAAAACCCCACACTTCTCTTTGTCCTTTCTCCTGAGCTTGGAGCTGCAGGCACCATGGGATGGGGGGAGACCTTGCAGTCTGAGGGCCTGGCCATACAGGCTTGCCCAGGGAACTGTCGCCTGGAGGCCTGGACAGGCAGAGGCATCATCACTCAAACCTCAGAGCAAGTCCCACAGCTCCCTCTGAGACCCGTGACTTTCCTGGGCCCCGTGGATCTTAAGGTCTACACGCAGTGGGAGGCATTGCTAGCACTGCAGAGGGATCAGCCCACACCCTGTAGCCAAACAGGCTTGGTTAGAATCCCCACTCTGCCTTTGCTAGCTCTGGGATCGCGGCCGTTATTGAACTGCTCTGTGCCTCCGTTTCCACAACTGTACAATGGGTCTCCTCATAGGGAAGTTATGACGATGACCGAGCCCACGCCATGTGCTTAGAATAGTGCCTGGCACGGGGGAAAATTGTTAGGAAAACAAATCAGTAGTAGACATAGCAGTCAGTCTTGCCATCTCCTGATTGACATCAGTGCGACTGTAAGCTCCCTGTGCACAGAAACAACAGAGCGCTAATCAAAGTGACATGAGTGTGAAGACAAAAAGCAAGCAGTTTGTGCCGTCAAAAGGCTGAGCTGGCCTGGCTTTGACCCCCACTGGAGCTAAACAGTGTCCGTGTCTCTTCTCGGTTTTCTTTTATATATATGTGTGTGTGTACACACACACACACTCACACACATTTTAAAAGGACAGGTTTATTAGGAACGGTAGTCACAGTGGGCAGGAGAGCTTTCTCACCTTGGCTTTCTTCCTCATGGTCTTCACTCGGGTCCCCCACCAACCAGGTTCCTTCTCTCAGCATCCTCTACACAAACCAGCCTTGCTTCTGGAGTCCTCCGAGCAAATGCCCTGGGGTCCGCCGAGCAAATGCCCTGGGGTCGAGAGGCGCAGGCCCAGGTCCGCCCACAGCCAGTGCAGCGTCAGCGTGAGCGCCCGGAAGGCCCTCTTCCAGCCAGCGCCGTCAGCGTTTGCACGGGGTGGCGCTCCCAGTTCTGATGGGCCTCTGGCTTGTATCACAAGGCGTGTATTAGTTTCCCTTTGCTGCTGTAACAAATCACTTAGTGGCTTAAACCACACACACGCGTGGTCTCACAGCTGTGGTGCTTGAGAGTCTGAATGGGGCTCGTTGAGCGCAGCAGCCTGGCAACCCCGCCTTACCTCCGAGCAGCCTTTGAGCTTAGAATGGTTTTAGGCTTTTAAAGGTCTGTTAAAAAACAATGACGAATACTATGGCAGGCTGCATGGACATGTGATCCACTCTGTGGCCCTTCACAGAAGAAGCGTGCCAGCCTCAGAAAGCCCCGACAGCAGGGTCAGCTCTGTGGGTTTGGATCTGCACTGGCTGGTCAGCGTCCATCCAGCCCCACCTTTAGACCATCTGGCTTTCCTCGCAGTTGGGAAGCAGCGGTGATGGCAGCAGTGGTAGTTGGGGTGGCAGGCAGGACTTACTGAGCTTTGACTCTGGCCAGGCAGTACAGCAAGAGCTTCTCTCCCTCCTCCTTGCATCAGCCCTCTGAGGGGAATCTGGTTTAGGAAGCCAGCTGACATGTGGGTCGGTGGAAGCTGCTGGGGGAGCAGTGACTGCCAGTGATTGTGAAAGCACACAGACTGGACTTGGAAGCCAGGCAGGCAGACCCCACATTCCTCTCCCGTGCCTCCCTGGCACTGCCCCCAGCTCGCTTCTCAGACAAATCTTTGGCATGCCCTCCCCTATTTACTTTCCTCATCTCTTTCCCCCAATTTTCTGACCAAATTCCTTTCCTCTGAAATAGGAAAACTGAAAAATGGAAAAGCTTTCAGAACAGGTTGTAAGGGTAGGACCTGGGCACAGTGCAGGTTTTCCTGATCCCATGCAGACCGGGTAAAGGAGGAGTCAGAGTCCTCAGTAGTTTTGCGGGTTTTTTATTTGGGGTTCACCAGGCATATGGCAGGCAGGGGTGCTGGGGGGCCGGGAGGCTGGCAGGCCTCCCAGCCCCCAGCAAATCCTCACTCTATCTGGGCTCTCTGGTGTTCTCTGCTTCTGCTTCGGCTTCTCCTTCAGCTGCTGCTGCTGCTGCTGCTGCTGCTGCTGCTGCTGCTGCTGCTGCTGCTGCTGCTGCTGCTGCTGCTGCTGCTGCTGCTGCTACTCCTGCTGCTGGCGTCCCCCCGTGATGCCGCCCTTAAAAAGCACAGTCTTAGCTCAGCTGAATCCCATCTACCTCTGCCCACACCCTATTCCAGGTGCCCGCCATCAGGCATGCATTCAGGACAAGGATCCATCATCTATCCTGATGGCGGAAGGGCAGAAAAGCCTGACATTTTCTTTACCCTACACAGGTCTACTGCCAACATTTAAAATTTTGGTTCATCCATCCCTCTACCTGCCTTTTCATCCACCCAACAACCATCCATCCATTCAGCCAGCCATCCATCTACCCACCCATCCACCCACACAGCCACGCAACCATCCAACTATCCACCCACCCCATCCATCCAACTGTCCACCCATCCATCCATCCAACTATCCACCCACCCCTCCATCCAACCATCCATCCACCTACCCAGCCATCCACCCATCCAAACATCTACCTAGTCTTCCATCCACCCAACCATCTATCCATCTGCCCACCCACCCACCCATCAACCTATCATCCACCATCCATCCATCCAACACAGCACCAGGAATTGATGAGAGCCTTGTCTTTGACAGTTACAAATGGGACAAACCCCAAGCCCCTGGGTGCTCCAAATTCCTTGTTACAGGGAGGCACTCAGGGAAGCTCATTAAGTAGCACCAAGCCCTTGATTAATATGCTATAATTCGGGCAGCCCCAGCCTATTCAAGTACTCATTCCCCCTGCCCCGTTACCATGACAACATTATTTTAACAAACAACTCCTTAATATTTAATGAAAATAATGCTCCTGACAGGAGAACAGAAGAGCAACCACACTACACAGGGCTTAGAGGGTCCATGAGGATGTCTGCATGAAGCCCTCCGACGCCCCCCATCTCTGTGCACCCTCCCTCACCAGGAAATGCAAGTGTTCAGCCTGGTGCCAGGCCCCTGTTCCGAGTAGCAATTGAGGGTTGTCACTTTTTTAATGTGGAATGTCACAACGGCCCCACCAGGATGGGGTAGCGTGA